CTCGGTTTGAGGGGGGAACCTCAGCACTCAACAGCAACCCAATGGCAACAGTGTTGGATTTTAGACCCTATGTCCACTTTTCAAATCGTTCAGACTACGCATCCCCTAAGAACCAACGGGTGCGCTGCACTGAACCGCGGCGACACCGTGAAGCCACAGTGCTTACACGACTCGACTCCACCAGCAGTCCTGCGGCTGCAGCTTCTCTACTCTCGGACCTATTACACATCCCGAAACCCAGGAAGTCCCCAAACCCAGGTTTCTCCCAAGTTTGGTGCCAAAAAGAACGTAGCAGCAACACGCGACCCAAAAGCACGTGAAGACAGTTTACAGTCTTACTGACTCACTTAAGTGAATGCGTTTCACTAAAAAGCCAACACCAGAACTAGGCGTGGTGAGAAATACAGAATGTGTGTGCCACACTCCCACCCTAAAACGCAACACGCTCTGACTCCGAAGCACAGCAGCGTGGGCTCACGTGCACGAATCTGCTTCCCAGCACGCCCACCGGGCGTCCCGAGGCAGCAGCGCCCTGGGGCAACAGGCAGTGGCACAACCCGCACCCAGCGTGGGAACGGGCACCCTGAGAAGCGGCTGCTCCAGGGCTGGGCCTGGTGGTGCCAACAAGTGAGGGGAGTGCCTGGCAGGAGGGCATAAGAATCCAACCAAAAGAGCTGCCAGTGGCCAAATCGACACAGACAGTATCGATTATAACCCAGCACCAATGACATTACGCTGAAGGACAACGTCAGTGTCTTCGAGGCTGTACGATATAACTGACTGCACTGATAAGGGGAGAGAAGGGACAACTCTCCCTTCCAGAAAATTCTAATTAATACACGCACAGGCGGAGGGAAATGGAAAATCACCGTTAGACCACCACAGTGATGACAGCACAGGCCAAGCTGTCCTCAGATGCGGAACAAGCGGGCGGGTGAGGAGAACGGACCCGGCGCAGCGTGGGACCGGGCTAACCTCGCCCCGTGGCCCAGCCCCCGGGAAGGAGTCTCGAGGCCTCTGGAGCGCGCCATCTGGCAGACAGGCCCCTTCAGACAGTCTGACAATGTGACTCGGGGTGGCGGCCTTGGGCCACAGGGGCAGCTCGGCCTCCGGAGGGGGTGGGGCCGTCAGCACTGACCACAGCGCCAGGGACAGGGCGGCTGGTAGCTTCGCTGGGAGTGTCCTCTGCCTGCAGCCAACTGTACCGTGTGTCCCTTTGCTGCGATAATCCATAACCATGGGTTCTGAGCCCTTCTAGAGAATTCGTGAACCCAGAGAGTCACAGGGACCCCTTACACTTGCTGGAGGTGTGAGAGTGCGGTAATCCTGCAGGTCTGCACTCCAGCCCAAAGTAGCCACCTCCAAACAGACATTTATCACTACAAAGGGAAAAGCAGGGACTTCACCATGGAGGACACAGAGGACCCCACTTCAACCAAGGGGCCAATGTCAGCTTTGCCCCAATAAGTTTACTGCATGGACCCCGACAAGATGCAGGGACAAGGGCACCTCACTTTGGGCCCCCCAAAACACACAACCTTGGTCCAATCAAGAGAAAGCACCAGACAGACCCGAAGGGAGCGACGCCCTGGACTGAAGGGCCAGCATCTCGACGGGACCATCTGGAAGGTCGAGGAACAGACACAGAGGAAGAGGCCGAGGGGCTGACCCAGGACCCTGGGCAGAAGAGGGCCCTAGGGGACCATCACGTGCACGTGAGGTCCGAGCCCATCAGTGGCCCGTGGCCCCGGTCCTTCCCCAGCTTTGTGGACACACGTGATCTCGGACCACGTCCACACGAGGGAGGGTAGGTGAAGGGCACCACAACTGGGGACAACACACATGGAAGCGTGTTTCTGCAAGTCTAAAATGCCTCCAAAGTAAAGGGTCAGGGAAACACACAGCTGGCCCCGAGGGTTCTGGAAAGGGGCTGCGGGTCTCTATTTATCTTCCCCTACCTCCTGGCTGTTACGGGACACAAGAGGGCTTTCCAGGTCACGCGGGGCAAAGGTGAGCGAGGGTAAGCCTGCACACCCCAAGAAGCAGCTCTTCCCCCGCCGTCACGTGTGCAGGCTGCACACTGGCCAGGTTCCAGATTTCTATTTCCCTGGAAAGTCGATAGTCAATGAGCGTATAAAGTACCCTGACCACCCCTGGAGGATGCAAAGAAACCAGCTAGCTCCTTATTTTGAAAACTGATTAAGAGAAAAATGTAGACATTTCTGCTGACTTTCCTGTATGAGCAGAAGTGTTCTAGCTTGAAATGGGAAAGACATCAGCGTCCTCCTGCAGCCCGATGATGAGCACTCCAGACCCGGGGCGTCCGCGGCTGGGCTGGCCGTCAGGGCCCCACAGACTCTAAGTCGAGTCAGAGCAAAGCCTCCAGCCAGAGCGCCTGGTTTACAGGAAACACGGAGACAGCGACCTGTTACCCTGAAGCGTGAGACCCGCCAACCTGACGGGGCAAACTGCCCGGCCTCCAGCGCACGCACGCACGCACACACACACGGGCGGGGCTCTGAGTGTGAAAGAGACCCCAGACATGCAACAACCAACAGGAAATACGGGCCTTACTTGGGTGATTAGAATAAACAGGCATAAAAGCATTCATGGCATCTGAAACGACTGAAAACCGGAACGCTGGCCGGATACTGACTTTAAGCAAACACGTACTGCTAACTCCTAAAGAGGTGATGACAGTGCCTGGAACATTCTTAAGTGTCCTTGTATTTAAAAAGATAACGCTGAAATATTACAAAAACAATGAAAACAAAACTGTCTCTACAGATGCCGCCCCAGAGCAGCTCCACTTCCACGGAGCTGAGGCCCCGGCCCCTCACCAACTGTGCCCTCATGGACGCCGCCACCACCACCTGCCACCGCCATCTCTGAAGCCCCCCCCCCACAATAACCCCCCCTCCCCACCCCGGCCTTCGGGAACCGCAGGGCTGGCCCTCCTCGGCACGAACGCTGACGGGGCCCACGCTCACCAGGGGGCACTATTTACCGCCCCAGAGAGGAGGGCGCTACCATGACGTGAAATAAGACACTGTCACATTAAGAAAAAGAAAATGTAAACTAGTATACTGCTAACCCTACATACCTTTCGATGTTTTAAAATATATTTTAGATAAATGTTTTTTATACAATGAAATCTACAAGATAACGTTATTTGAAGAATTCAGCGTCACCTTCACAAAAGGACTGACTCAGTTTCCCTTAAGCACTGTGCCCACTACCCCATTTTCAGGATGGACGGAGGAGGTCACAAACTAGCAGGTCCTGTCTAGTGTTTTTTCTTTAAATTCAAACAAGATGCCGACACTTTAAAATCAGAAGCGTTCCTGCACTGGGGATCCACAGCTCCACATGCCCCCTGGGGGGCTCCACGAGACGCGCCCGGCCCCCTCCCCGCACACAGCCTCACCTGTGTGGCTCCCAGCTCCTCTCTGCTTTTTTTCCTTGGCTAGTTGAATGGCTCGGGAATCAGTTCTTGCTGAGCCCCCGCCTTCCTGAGACCAAAGAAAAGCGTATCAGTCACGGGACCCAAACAGTAGAGGGAGGGGAGCGGGGGACCTACTGAGCGCGGAGTCTGCTTCCTGAACAGACCCCAGCAAAGGCTCAGAGAATCAAATACCACATCCAGTGACAGCGACAGCTGCACGGACTTTGAGTTGGAACCATATACGTGATTTTATTATCCAGAGAAGCAAAGTTTATTCCTTCAAAGTCTAAAACATACTAAAATATTTTACACAGAAAGTGAACTGCAGGCCACTCTGCTGTCTGACACACGGAACCAGTGTGTCCTCAGTGACCAGGACTCACTGACTGCGGCCCCTCCCCGGGTTTCAGGACGTGTCACACCACGTCCGCTGGGCCACCCCGGGGGCCCGGGCCGTGTGCCCCACGGAGGCTGCTCAGGGCAGCTGCTCCACTCGGGGTCCCACCCGGCAAAGCAGAGCGGTAAGTGCATCACTGAACTGGGGCGTTTTCCGAGGGACCTGACGTACGCACACGGGACTGGGAGCGCCGTAGCCCTGCGGACGCACTGCGAGGACACGGTGGAACCCCCATCCCCACAGAGAGAGGCTCGGGCGTACCTGCGGCCCCTTCACCACGCGCCTTCTGGGCTCACAGACGCCAGGCTGGCCCACGTCACACAGCTAGTGAGAGAACGGACAGGGTCAGGGTCAGTCTCGTGCTCCGCCGGCCCTCGGCCACTGCCGCATCCCTCACAGAGAACGCCGATTCAAAGGAGTAACTTCTCTTTATATCACGGTAAAATAAGATTTAACTTTCTGAATATAAACATCGCCATCACTTTTAACCTGCACCACAAAGAAAAACCTACTCGATCACTCCCACCTGAGGCTGAGGTAAGACGTTCTCTTAAGAATCTCTGATTAAATTACTTTAAATTATATTAAATGTATAACTGACATAAATATAGTTAAAATATATTAACTGCCAAGGCTCGCAATTGGAGAAGTGCTCTTATAACCCTCCAGAGACAAAGGCTCCCAGACCACTCCCTTTTTTTGTTGTTGTTAATTCAAATTAAAAATTTTTGCATGGTTTTAGTTTCCGTTAAGCCTTAAGAAACATTTGATGTCACAATTCCTCTTGGCCACGACTCCATCTGAGGATCTGCTATTACGTGATAAGCTCAAATGCAGAACGTTTCAACATTATGAAATACCTCAGCTTTTTTCAAGAAAAGACAAGTTATCACCAAATCACAGAACTCAAAAAGACCTTAGAAATCATGTAGCCAAAGCCCCTCATTTTAGAAATAAGTGAGAATTTAAGGCTCAGACACGTTAAGTGATTTGCTCAAGGTCATAAAAACCAGTCCGTTCCAGACTCGAGACTGGAGCTCAGATTTCCAGACTTGCAGGCGGGAGCTCCATCCTTTCGCAAACCCCTAAGAAACGTCTGCACGCAGATTAATCCAGAACACCGCACGACGGGTGTGAGACGTGACCGAACAGAGCGCTTCATACCAAGTAGAAGCCGCCGGTCCCCGCACCAAGTCCCTCGTCTTTCCGAGGTCCGAGCTCCTCTGCAGGGCTGGACTCCACAGGCCGCGGCGCCCCTCCGCTCCACGCCTGCTGTCTGACGGCGTTGGGCTCGGGGGCCGAGTCTGGCTCCACTTTGATGGGAACCAGCTGCTCCGGGGCACTGCTGTCTCCCTGGGGGCCGCTCGCAGAGGTCAAAGCCTGGGGGTCCCGACTCAAGCTCTTCACGGGCAGAGCCACCAGACAGCCCAGAGCCCCTGGGTCCACGGCCTGCACGTCACCTGCAGCGAGGCTGCCCTGCTGGAGAACCGTGGCTGCCGTCCCGAGGACGAGGGGCCTGCCCGGGCCCAGTGGGACGTCACTGTGGGCCACCAAGACCAGGGGGCCCATGGGCCCTGAGGCAGCCTGACTGGCAGGGAGGCCCCCCCCCGAGAGAGGCGCTCACAGAAGTCACGTCGACAGTCAGGATCCCAGTGCGGAGCGCCTCGTCGGAGGTCCTGGGGGCACCACCGCTGTCGCCAGGCGTGTCGGAGAAAAGGACCGCCAGGTCCACACTGCTGAACTCACTCTGGCCGGGGCTGCTGAGGTCGCTGCTGGGCGCGAGCGCGCTTGGAGCTCCCAGCGGAGGGAAGACGTCTGAAAAGGAAGGAACACTCTGGTGACCTCAGGCCCTCAGAGACCAGGGAGCTCTGTATGTGCTCAAGACGTGAGCAGGCGGCCGCCGAGGGGACAAGGATGGTTCTTCCTGCCGCCGGTGCCTAGCCCTGCAGGCGACCACGCTCTGCAGCGAGGCACTGTGGGGTACACGCCCGGCGCCCTGTCCACGCTGCCCGGAGCCTCGAGCCCACAGGCATCTCCCCAGACGACGGGCGTGACCTGGGTCAACGACACTCCCCAAAGTCACACCGCCCAGAGACGGAAGAGGCAAGACTCAAACCCAAGTCCTACTGGCTTCACACCCTGAGCTCACTCCACCACGAGCAGCCACCCCAGGAGACCAAGCACCCTCACGGAGCAGACACCTGCAGGCCTCAGGCCACGCTGAACCCTGGCTCCCTGACATTCCTGGCATCAGCTATGTGGGTCCACGTCCCATCCAGCTCTCTGCCCACTTCGCGACAAGCAGCTTCTCCAGAACGAGAGGGCGCAAGGGCAGGGACGGACAGTGGGGAAAATCTGGCCTGCCGGCCCACCTGCCTCTGGGCTGGAGCAGGGCGCCCCCAGGGAGCTGCGGAGAGCGCATGTCAGACACCGCACTCTGCAGGCCTGGCCGTGGCCTCCTGGACGGAGCTGCTCCGTTTCCAGGCTCCACTGCCCCCACTGCCGCGGGTCCCAGCGTCTGTGCCCCTCAGCGGCAGACACAGGGCCTGGCCCTCAACGAGCCGCCCTCGTTCACTTCATTGCTGCCGCAGCGCAGCGCTCTCCCAATACTTGATTATTTGTGTTCAATTAAGATTTTAAGTAATCAGACTACCCTTGGGAGAATACTGAACACCAACATACTGTAAAGAAGCTTCAATGAATGTTCAAGTTGAGGGTTCACACACAAGAACACCCAATCACCCAAATCCCAGGGCTCACCAGGCACCAAGCAAACAGGAAACGGAAGCACAAAGAACTCAGGCACAGCTGCCAAACGAGGCCTTGACTGCCCCCCTCCTGCGGCTTCCGACACCCAGGCCCGGCCAGAGGGAAAGGCGCTCCCAGGCCTGGCACCACCCCTCCCTCCAAACCCTGAGCTAATCCCAAGCTCACACCGTCCAGCTGTGGACCCCACGTCAAAGTGCCTATGATGCTTCTTCTGTGAACCTATGAAGAATCTACTCTAGACGCCATCCCCCCAAAAGTAAATAAACGACACCCAAATTCAGAATCTCTCATCTGCAGCTGTCATGCTTCAAAGTTTAAGAACCGGGTCGATCTGTCACTGCTTCAATCACCTAGCACCAAGGAACATTCTGGAAGGGCAGTGACTCTGAAGTAATCAAAACTGGAAACATGTCTCTTTTTCAAAAGTTTCCTTGATAACCCTGATGATTCAGCTCCCTATGAAAAAATCAGTAATAATCTAGGCAAACAGATACCAGCGTGCTCATAAATTTCCTATCAGCATTTTGCTGATTCCACAAATATTTACTGGAGACCTGCCAACGTGCAAGGGCCAACATTCAAAAATCATTAAACAAACATTTATACAGAGCATCCAGCATCAGGCCACACCACGACCTCACTCCAGCACTTCCTTGCCAACGTGAGCCCCACCTGGGACCGATGTGAGGGGGACCCGCGCAGCCAGTTCAGGGCCTGGCACAGTCCGTCCACAATAAACAGATGCTCCCAGGTACCTATTTATCAGGAGGCAAGCCTGGGGCCCCGTCACACACCCGACACGAGACCACGTCACATCGTAAACGCCAGGCCTGGGACACACACCCCTGATCTCCTACCTGACACGAGACCACGTCACATCATAAATGCCAGGCCTGGGCCACCCCCCAGTCACCTACCCCACGCAAGACCACGTCAGATCATAAATGTGGGGCTTGGGATGCACCCCAGTCACCTACCCGACAAGAGACCGTGCCACATCGTAAACGCCAGGCCTGGGACACACACCCCTGATCACCTACCTGACACGAGACCATGTCACAGCATAAGTGCAGGGCCTGGGACCACACGCCCCCATCACCTACCCAACACGTGCTTCACATACTGGTGCCCCTCCCAGGATCACAGCAGGGAAGTGGCCATGCCTGAGGCTGGGCAGGTCCGTCACAAAGGTGGCACCGAGCAGGGCCTGGCAGCACCTGCTCAGGTAGCTACAGCTAGGACCTCACCCTCCAGGCCCTGCCAGGAGCAGCAGGCCTGCCGGGCCACAGAGCATGGTGCTGGGACGGCTCTAGGGAGAGGCAGCCGCCGGGCCACCCAGACCCTCAGGCCCGCCCAGGGGCCGGTGCACGGGGCGGGATTCTCAGTCCCAGGCCCCCAGGTAGCAGGACGGCCAGGTCCGTGTGCCCAGAGTCGCCCCTCTGGGCTCGTCGTGGTTCGCGCTCTGCCCCCAGAACGTCCAGGAACAGCTCTGTCCTGTCTCCAAGGACTCTCCCAGGCACTGGGGTGGACAGGAGGAGCTGAAGGAGTCGGACGCAATGGGGGGCAGGCTTGGAATACAGGACGAGGTCACAGGGAGAGACTCAGAAGGCCAGGCTACGAGGGCCAACCCCATGGAAGCCCTCAGAGACGAGGGCAGGTGACAGGGTCAGAGGCGGGAAGCGGCAGAAGAGAGGCCACGGGGCCATGCAGCGTGGCAGCTGCGGTCCCTGCCACGCGTCCCGTGGACTCTGGGCGCCCTCGGGGCCGTGCGCGGGGCCGACCTGGGTGCCGGTGGTGCTGCCTGATCACGTGGGCCTTCACGCTGTGCTTGGAGGCAAAGAGCCTGTGGCAGCTGGACACCGGACACCTGCTCTTCGCAGCGGCCACGTCCTGCAGGTGCTTCTTGGAGTGAATGTAGAGGCTGCTCCGTGCGGAGAACCTGGCACAGCACCCTGGGCAGAGAGAGGGACGCGTGTTAGCCTGAGGGTCCCCGTCCCGGCAGCACCCAGACAGGGCACGTCCCCGCTCTGCCCCCGGCAAGCGCCCTCAGGCAGCATCACGAGGAAGCCTGAAGTCCTGCATCGGCCGCAGACAGGACACGTGACCTGCACAAGCAGGCTGACCGCCTCCATTAAGCTGCTACTGGAAGAAAACCTGCGACTCCGTGACATCTGGGGCTGGAGACCACCCCAGAGACCCGCCACTTCCTCTCATTACGCCCCTGAGAAGCTGTTGCCCAGATGGGCCGAGCAGATGGCCGGGAATCAGAGGCAGGAGGGGAGCCCGGAGTTGGCCCTGCCCAAGTCCGCAGAGCAGACACACACCCGGGGCAGAGGGAAACAGGCAGGCCCAGAGATACAGCCACCCTCCTTCATGCCTCGACGTCCCACTGCTGGAGCTCGGCACGGCGGGGTCACGGGAGGGAAGAGGGGTTCCTGACGGCCACAAGCTCGTCACCTGGTAGGGACACATAAGCAGCCAGCTGTCCTAACACAGGCGGAATAAAGCCCGGGGTCAGGCCACCCAGCGTTCCGGGAGCAGAGGAGAGCGCCCCCGCGAGGAGGGAAGGTCTCAGGAGATAGGTCACGTCTGAGGTGCCGGGCGGCGTGGCCACCACAGCAAGGAGGTGCGGCCAAGGGGCTGCCAGGCCAGGCTGTGGGGAGCTGCAGGACCGGCCCCACCCGTGTACGGCCGTCTCGACCCCCTCTGTAAAGCGGGGCCTCCACGGTACTCACGACGCCCAGGAAGGACGCCACGGCGCTATCACGCTACAGCATGTCAGGGAAGGAGACGGGGTCGCTGGGGGCTGGAGGAGGGCTACTGCAGGAAAAGAGGCTACGCAGAGAGGATACGGCCACGGCAGTAAGGGCTCTGCTACCCCTGAGAGCAGTTCTGAACTGATTTCGTTTTCAAACAAAACTTCACGCCCGTTTGCCAGGTCAGGCTCAGGTCAGGCTCAGGACAGGGCACTTGGGAAACACAAGAGAGAAGAGACATCTCTGGTCTTGCCCCCGGGGGCCCTGTCGCCACGCGTGCTCCACACCCCCTCCCAGCTGGGACCCTCACAGAGACTTCCAGGCTTATCGCACGGCCTTCCCGAGGGCGGGGTCGACCACCACAGGGACGTCATCATGCTGCTGCCAGCAGAGAGTTTCTACTTGTAGAGATACTTGCGAATTCGACAGGGAACAACGCAGGTATCATTTTAATTTGTATTTCCTTTGACGATCAGAAGTAGGACCATTTTTTCATGTGCGTCAACGACTACGTTTTCCTAATTACGACATAACCTATTGAGACTTGTGCCACTGCTTTACAAATTAAGGATATTCACACACAGCCCCACGCATTTCTACCACGTTACCACCCCGCCAGGGGAAGGGCAGAAGCAACTTGTCAAAGACAGACTTCCCTCCAAACCCCAGCTCGTCAGGAGTCTGCCCAGCTCGCACCCACATTCCGTGGGCTCCACGGCAGGCTGGAGGCCCAGAGAAGCCCCCCAGGCACACGCCGCCCTCAGCCCGCCCCCGTCCACGCTCGCTGCCGTGCTGCACTCCCCATCCTCTCCTCCTCCGGCTACTACTATGGGAACGGCGGGGAGTGGCGGCTTCTTAACTTTTTATTAAGAATGTTCCGAACACCTACAAAACCAGAGAAAATGGTGAAATCACCCAGACTCCAGAACTGTCAGCTCTCAGCAAGTGTGGCAAAGGGTCCTGGGGTGCCTCCGCCAGCCCGCCCTCACCGCCACACCCTTGACCAAGCGCTGCCGGTCACCCTGTGTCAGACCAGCGCAGAGCTCTCAAGGATGCACGTACCAAAAGGAAACTCCTCCCTCCTCCGTCGCCAGCCCTGCCCCTCCCTCTTTGCCTCAACCGCCTCAAGAAGGAGGGGAGCCTCGCCCCGCCCACCCGCCGCCGCCATCGCCGCAGGGGTTAGGGCGCCCCCCAAGGTCTCGCCAGCCGCCCGCGGCCCCTCAGCTCCTGGCACCGGCCCACTGGCCTCCTTTCCCAAACCTGGTGTTCTCTTGGCCCAGTGCCCACCTGGCCCCTCGCGTCCTCCTCGTCCTCCTCAGGCCCCTCCCGGGGCGCCCGCTGTTGCCCACCCGCACGCGGGGCAGTTCCCAGGGCTCGACCTGCCGGCAGCGGCAGGTTACTGATGTCCTCTCGGCCCTTAATTAAACTCCCTGACCAGCTGGGCCCCCACCAGCCCCACTGGACAGAAGCAGAGAAGAAGCAGGGCTGGGAGCCGCACGCAGGCGCCTTCGTGGCACCTGTCCCGCCCCCAGCCCGCTTCTCAGGCCCCAGCAGCACCTGCTCCGCCTCCCGAGCATCTGTCAGCAACGTCCGCGGGCACCTGGAACACGGCGCGTCCGCACCCACCTCCTGCCTGTGCCCCGCGTCCCCGTCTCAACTGAGACGCTGACCCAGCCGCCACGCCCTCCACAGCACCCGCTCCTGAACCCTCGCCAGGCACCATGCATTCTAACTGCCGCCTCTGCCGTCTACGCCGTCCCTCCCTTCCCAGCGCCTGCCCAGGCACCGGCCCATCTGCCCAGGACCCCAGACTCAGCCTAAACCTCCACTGTGGCCCCATCACCCCGCCTAGAGCCCTCAGCCTGCTGCCCACACCGGCCCTTCTGCCTCCACCGCCCCTGCCTACTGGGAGCCACTCCCCCACCCCAAGAACCCTCTGGGTGACCTCCTCTGTGCACCAAGCACCCTGCACGTCAGCTGTGTGCCTGTGGCCCCAACCGGAGCCCTGGGGAGAGGCGGGCCTGTGCGTGATTAGGCCACCTGGGCTCCATTCCAGAAACTGCTCAGCTGCAAGTGGGTCTTTGGCATCCCCTTCTCCAGGTGAGGAAACTGAAGCCCAGAGAGCCTTGCCTGAGGTCACTGATTCGGGGGGGTGGAGCCAGTGTTCAACTTCACACCCCAAGGGACCCGGCCCGCCGTCCCAGAATCGTGCCTCTAAAACGCCAGCCTGGCTTCACCGCTGTCCAGTCACAGCGTGAGGAGCCACGGCTGAGTCCGAGACACGTGCCACGTGCCGAAATGGGCTTTCTTCACATGTTCCTTCAGTGGATCCTCACAACCGTCCAACCCAGAGGGGACTCAGCAGAGCGCCCCCCGCAGGGCCCAGTCCCGCGGCCTCACTCTGAATCTGCTCTTTCCGACACACTGCTCCCAAGACCCGGCCACCGGCTAAAACCAGCCGAGCCCACCTCACAGTGCAGCCGACACGACGCACCTCGAAGCAACTTCCACGCATAGCGTCCAGGCGGCCGTGGGGCCGGCTCACACCTACCTTCCACGGGACACGCGAAGGGCTTGGTGCCCAGGTGGGTGACGCTGTGGCCCTTGAGGTGCTCGGCCCTGGTGAACGACTTCCCGCAGCCCTCGACGGGGCAGGGGAAGCGGCGGTCCTCGTCGTGCTTCCTGCGGGACACAGAGCAACAGGCAGTGACCACTCACAACCAGAGTGCTCCATTCAGGAGGAGCAGCCTCCCAGAGACCCTGACGAAGCCACCTCCCCCCCTCAGCAACCCCGCTCCTACACAGGCTGTCCACACTGCAGGGGACATCACCTCACGTACACACAGTCTTTCTCTAAGTAGACACCTCAGATCCCAACTGTGCAAGTACAGACAAACCACCCAACCTCTCTGGCTCCCAATGCAAAACAGGAGAACAAGGGGCTTCCCTGGTGGTACAGCGGTTAAGAATCTGCCTGCCGATGCAGGGGACATGGGTTCAATCCCTGGTCTGGGAAGATCCCACAGGCCGCGGAGCAACTAAGCCCATGCGCCACAACTACTGAGCCTGTGCTCTAGAGCCCGCGAGCAACAACTTCTGAGCCCACGGGCTTCAACTACTGAAGCCTGCGCACCTAGAGCCCGTGCTTGGCAACAAGAGAAGCCACCACAAAGAGAAGGCCACGCACCACAATGAGAAGCCCCCGCTCGTCGCAACTAGAGAAAGCCTGCCCGCAGCAATGAAGACCCAACGCAGCCAAAGATAAAATAAATAAAAATAAATAAATGTATAAAACAAAACGAAACAAAAACAGGAGAACAAGAGCTTCAGTGTCACAGCTGCTGAGAGGCCGAACAAGGGACACGGGCCAGGCGCCGAGTGTCACCTGCACAGAGGCCCAGTCCTCCAAGGCGTCATCACCGCCGCGGGAAGTTTGTAAAGACACGACGAAGGCTTAGTCTATAACCTTAATTTTTTTTTTAATATCAAATTGCATATTAAGTATACGAGTTAAACTTAAAAACAAGTACACACAGAAAACACTGACTTTGGGGGATCAGATTCTGTGTGGTTTTCTTCTTATAAGGTTTCTGAATTTTCCAAGTTATTCACGTTGGTTTGTTTTTTATAGCTTAAAGAAATCCAAAGATTATTCCACCCACTGGCTTCTACTAACAAACAACTCACCTGTTTCCAAACTGACAGTTCAACCAAAATGTAGAGATTACCTTTTGTGCCTCAGGAGTTTAGACATGCTGGTAAAGGTCCAGCCACAGCTGTCAGAATCACAGATAAAAGGTCTTTCGCCTTAGAAAGGAAAAAAAATCACACCACGTGATTACAAACGTGAGCTGCGCCGGCGGCAGATGGGGTCCAGGCGCCCCCGGCTTCTTACCTGTATGGCTTCTCAGGTGGATCTTCAGACGACAGGCTTTGTCATACTGTTTGCTGCATCCAGGGAAGGAGCAAGAAAAGAGTTCCTGTTCCCTGAAGTGGGCCCGGTTATGGGAGAACAGAGCGCTCACTGTGATGAACGTCTTCTCACAGCCTGAACAGAGAAAACACAAACCCTGCTCACTGGCGTGACGAGAATCACACAACACGGCTAACCCAGTCACCACCCCAGGGCGCTGCGTGCACTGGGGCAGATGCGGAGGACGACGACTGGGGAGCATCTCCAGACAGTGAGAACCTTCGCAGCGAAAGTAGGGGTGGCTCAGGGCAGCCCACGGGTGCACACAGGCCACCTGTCCCCATGTGACCGGGAGACACAGCACCAGATCAAGAGAAAGTCCTCCAGCACAGCCGTGCGCCCAGTTCTGTAGCTCAGACCCTGTGGACACGGTGGGAACTCAACTGCCCAGGTCGCCCATGTGAGACCAGAAACCCAACGAGAGAAATCAGAGACTAAGGAACAAGATTCCGCCTGGTCGGGCTGAGCTTGGAAGGGCTGCAAACGACTGCAGTAACACCTGGGACTTTTTCACCTGTGGGAGTGAGGCCGCATCCCCCACCCTCGTAAACGTCCCCCAGACGTCCTTGGCGGCTGGCAGCCCGGCCTCTGGCAGCGCGCTTCTCTCTCCCTTTGGTCCATTCCCTCGGGGTTCCCTGATCTGTCAAGGGTCACTGGGGTCATCTTCGCTCACATGGCCTTTTTCCACCACCTGCATCGTCAACCCCGGCTGAGCCACCAGACTTTGCACGTCACTAGTTCTCCTTTGACACAAAGGTTCAGTGCTCAAACAGGGCAGAAGACACGAGGCTACGAGATGCTGGCCAGGCGTCTCCGCTGCAGCGCTTCTCAGAGCCTTTACGGTGCTGCCAGGTGCGCACAGCACTCTGCGGGACAGCCCAGGGAGCCCCACTTTTCACAGCGACACTTAACTGGGAAACGCCCATCTTCCTAAATGCCTTACAAGCCTCCTCTCCGGCACAAATGTGTCTGTGCCCAGCAGCCCCAGACATTCCTTACTTCGGGCCTTGGTGTCTTCTCACACTCCGTCAGGGAGGTCTGAACAGGCTGAGTCAGTCTCTGGCTCAGCAAGAAGCACCCTCCCCCAACCGACAGTGAAGCCTCCTGACCCAGCTCTGCAATCCCTCCCACTGGAGCCTCCTCAGCGCCCCACTGCGTCTACCTGGGTCACCCCTCAGGACCCTCCGGTCTGGAACATTCACGCAGCTTCACTGGTCCCTCTCCTGCTCCCGCCCACCTCAAACCAACACCCCGCGTACCATTCACCTCAAAACCCCCAGGGTGACCTCGTGCCCAGAAGCAGGCTGGACCCCTGGTCCTCCTGGTACTATGCTCAGAAGGATGCCCCTGAGCTTTTTACTAGAGAGCGGCCCGCAGACCGCCGCCAGATTCCGAATGCAGGACCAAGCGTTCGGAATCAGTGGCCTACAGCCATGCTCTCCACGGAGACGGGGTGCACAGGACAGGACAGGGCACGCGGGAAGAAAACACGGGAACCTGGTAACGTGAATTTTCTTCCGCCCTTTCAAAATCCCACATGTGAGTGCGCTTCATAACATACATTCTAAGGAGCGCACTCCGCGTCCATGACGCATCAACAGGGTCGCCGGGCACACACTCGCGCTTCTCTTTTAAGGAAGGGCACCTGGGAGGCCCTCGGGCACCCTGCCCCCAGCCCGCCCCACTGCCCCCATTCCCTGCCTTGGCTCTGCAGCGTGGCCCCCGCACCGCAGCCCCTCCTTCCCAGGCGGGAACCTTCTCTCGTGAAGACACACACTCCCCGCGAGAGCAGCTAGAGCTGCCTATCCCGGTAGAGAGTTCAGGGCACTCACAGCGGAGAAAGACCCCTCCGCCCACAGCATCCACCTGCCCAGAGTCTCTCCGTCTGAAGATAAGGACGACTTTCAGAACTTTACGCAACTGTGAAGCCCGAAGGAAACAACGCTTTCAACGTCACAATAGTGGATGCACCGCACCTCCGCGATCATCCCCTCGGCGCCTTAAGGCCTCGCCTGGGCCGCGTGGCCCTGCGTCCCTGCAGCCCGGGGCACGCGCCTACACGCCGGACGGAGCTTTTCTAAGTGACGAGACCTGCCTCAAACTCCCGTCTCCGGGCCCCGCCGGCGCCGCTCACCGGGAAAGTCGCACTTGTAGGGCCGCTCGGGCTCGAAGTGGCTGCGCTGGTGCGAGCTGAGCTTGGCGTGCGTGGGGAAGCGCTCGGCGCACACCTCGCACTTAAACAGGCTCTCCTGCTCGTGGCCCTTCATGTGCGCCCTGAGGTTGTACACGGTGGTGAACTTCTTGCCGCAGCCGCCCACCGGGCAGCCGAAAGGCCGCAGCTTGTCGTGCGACTGCAAATGCCGCTTGAGCTTGTACGACGTGGTGAAGGCCCAGCCGCAGCCGTCCAGCGGGCACTTGAAGGGCCGCCGGCCCTGGCCGCCGCCGTGCGTCAGCAGGTGCACCTGGAGCTGGTGCTTCTTGGCGAAGGCGAGCGCGCACTGCGGCTCGGGGCAGCGGTAGCCGGGGCCGGCGGACGCGCGGCGGGCCCCTGCCGGGCTGGCGGCCTCCTGGCCGGGCGGCGGACGCCGGGACGGCGCGGCCAGCGCGAGGACGCCACGCTCCAGGTGCACCAGCAGGTCCTGGCCTCCGGCGACCCGGGGGCCCACGAGAGGCGCGGCGCCGGGGACCTGCGCAGGGCGGCCGGCCGGGCTCGCGGCGGCGCCGGGCTGGGGCTCGGTCTCCCGCCGCCCCGGGGCTTCGGCCGCGCCGCGCGCCACTTCCAGCAGCACCACGAAGGAGTCGCCGCCGCCGGGGCCCGCCGGCCGGGCCTCCCCGCGCCGCGCCCCCTGCGCGCCGTCCTCTGGGTCCCGCAGCAGCAGCAGCCGGCGGTGCGCTGAGCCCGGGGTTCTGCGGGTCCGGCCGGGGCCGCCGCCGAGCTGGGGTCCGCGTGGGGCCGGGGCCGCAGCGGCGAGCCGCGCCGGCGCGTCCATCTTGGGCCGCTGCGCGTCCAGCCACCGCCTCGCCGGAAACGCCACCCCATACGCACGCACGAGGAGCGCGACGCCGTGCGCTACGCACGCGAGTCGGCGCCAAAGCCCGGCGCGGAGTGCGGCCCGGCGCGCGCCGGAGCCGGCCCGAGGCGCGCGTGCGCGGAGCGGCAGGCGGGGCGCGGGGCCTGCCGGGCCGCGTGACGTCAGGGCTCCGCGCGGTGGGCGGTGCAGGGTGGGTCGCTAGAGGCTGGGGTTACGCCCCCGGCCGGGTCGCGCGGCGGAACCGGCGGAACCGTGGGTCGGGGGCGGTCCGGCGGCTGGTAGCTCCGAGCGGTCCTGCCGCCTCGGTGAGCGCTGCCTCGCATCTCGTCCCCGCCCGGACCGACCGCGCCTCACCCGCGCGTTCCGGGACGATGACCCCGCGGCTGCCGTGCCCCCGCCCCCGGTCAGTCCTCCGCCGGCCGCGCCCGTGATCTAACAAAGCGCAGGTCCGGCTGTGCCCCCTCCCCGAGCGGCCCCGCTTTGTCCTTGCTCCCCACACCGGACCCCCGCCCCGCTCCCCCTCCTCCCGCAGGACGAGCGGGTTCCAGCCTGGGGGGGCCTCTCTCCGAGTGCCCTCCCCCCGCCCCTCAGACAAGTCTCAACTACAGTTGTTCCGTTCGTCCCTGTTCCCGTGAAGCCTCCGTGAGGACGGTGACCCTGTCGAGTCATTCACAGCTGTGTGCCCAGATGCTAGCAGTGGAGACGCTCAGTAAATGTGTATTAAATTGAGGAATGATGTATTATTAAAAGTTCTTCAGAAATACGGTGCTTCGGGAGACTTCCCTGGAGCAGTGGTTAAGAATCCGCCTGCCAATGAGGGGGTCACGGATTCGATCCCTGGTCCAGGAAGATCGCACCTGCGGCAACTAAGCCCGCATGTCGCAGCTACTGGAGGCCGCACACCTAGAGCCGGTGCTCCCCAACGAGAAGCCACGGCAATGAGAGGCCCGCGCACCACAACAAAGAGTAGCCCCCGCTCGCCGCAATTAGAGAAAAGCCCGCGTGCAGCAACGAAGACCCAATGCAGCCATAAATAAATTTATTTTTAAAAAAGAAGAAATAAGGTACTTCAGGAGTTCCCTGGTGGTCCAGAGGTTAGGACTCGACGCTTGCAATGCCGGTTGGGGAACTTAGGTCTCTCCACACGGCCAATAAATAAATAAAATAAGGTACATCAATAATATTGAAAAGAACAGGAAACATTTATATGTAAGAATTTGTGCCAAAAATAAATTGCTCCAAGACCATTCAGTGAAGGAAACAATCTTTTCAATAAATGGTCCTGGGACAACTGGTTATCCACATACACCAGAATGGGTTTGGACCTCCGCCTCGTACCAGACACAGAAACGAACTCAAAATGGATCCGAAGCCTAATGTAAGAGCTATAACTATAAAACTACTACATCTGTGACCTTGGATTACGCAGTGGTTTCTTAGCTGTGAAACTGAAAGCACAACCAATGAAAAGAAACCAGCTGGGCTTCAACAAAATTAAATACTCTTTTGAATCAAAGAACACAAACAAGAAGGTGAAAAGATAACCCACAAAATGGGAGAAAATTTTCAAGTCATATATCTGATGGGGATCTACTATCCAGAATATACTGTTTACAACTTGTAACTTAATCACAAACAGACAATCCAATTTAAAAATACACAAGGGATCTTAATAGACGTTTTTCCAAAGAAGAAATACAATTAGCCAATATGCCCATGAAAAAAAACTCAGTATCATTCATTACTCATCAGGGGAATGCAATTCAGAACCACAATGAGATACCACGCACACTTACCAGGATGGCTATAATTTTTTAAATGGGCAATAACAAGTGTTGGTGAGGGTGTGGAAAAATTGGAACCCTCATATATTTCTGGTGGGAATGTAGAATGGTGAAGCCACTGTGGAAAAAAGCTTGGCAGCTCCTCAAAAAGTCAAGGATAGAATTTCCTTATGACCCAGCAATTCTACTCCTAGGCATATATCCAAGAGAGATGAAAACCCATCCACACAAAAACTTGTATGTGAATGTTCACAGTAGCATAATGCTACATTAAAAAAAACAAAACGGAAACAGTCAAGTGTCCATCAACAGACAAAGGGGTGAACAAAATCTGGCCTTTCCATAGAAAGGAACATTATTTAGCCATAAAAAGGAATGAAGTACTGATACACGCTAAAATATGGATGAACGTTGAAGACATGCTAAGGGAAAGAAGCCAGACCCAACAGATCACATATTGTGTGATACCGTTCATGTGAAATGTCCATAATAGGTAAATCCGTAGAGGCAGAAAGTAGATTAGTGGTTGCCAGGGGATGGAGGGCAGGAAATTAGGACTAACTGCTAAGAGCCAAGGGATTCTTTTCGGGGCGATGGAACGTACTGGAATTAGACAGTGGTGATGACTACACAACACCGTGAGGCTACGAAAAACACCAACGTTTGTGCTTTAAAATGGTGACTTTTATGTTCTGTATGTCTCCATGAAACGTATATTGTTAGAAGTCCATGCAGAACATTGTTGGGGAGAACCCGCCTGCATATCCTGGGGAAGTTTCTGGAAAGACACAGACACTGCTAGCACCCTGACCGCTCTGAACCGAGGTGGGAAAGGGCTCTTTCACTCTACACTTCACTACCTTTGACACTTTTTCATTTTGTTTTAGATCATGAGTGTCTTTAATTTTTATAATTAAATATGTTTTCCCCACTGTGGAAAACAGTGTAGCAGTTCCTGAAAAACCTAAACGCAGAATTACCATCTTGAAACAGGAGGGAAGAGCGCAGGGCACAACCTTTAAAAGGTTGTGGATACGACAAAAACTGGTGAGAACCTATTAGGTCCAAGATGACAGAAGATCTGACTTCCAGTGGACGTTGAGCCTCATTACATGCTCACTGGAAATGCATCAGTTAAATGACACACCCACAGGGGCCAGGACAATTCCGAGGCTGAACATAAAAGGCCAAGAAGCAGGCAGGGGTCGAATTCCTGGAAATCCCTCCCCCTTCTCCAAGGTAGTTGGAATAACCCTCCCACTCATTAGCCTATGAAATTACCCAGCCCATAGAAACTAACCACTCAATATTTCGGGGCCTCTCGCCTTCCGAGCTGGCCCACCGTCTGTCTGTGGAGTGTTTCTCCCAGGGCCGCTCTCACCTTTTGAGACAGTCTGCATTCTGTCTATGGAATGTGTAGCTCTCTAAATAAATCCACTTCTTACCTATCACTTTGGCTCTCATTGAATTCCTTCTGCACTGAGACATAAAGAACCTGAGCTTCACCAAGTCCTGAGACCAGGTGTGTGATCTTACTTAAAAGACCATGGGTTTGAGTCCCAGCCCGAAGGTTTGAGTCCCAGTCTGGGTTTTGGCTGGGTTCGAATCCCATCTCAGTTGTGTGGTTTCAATATGACCCAGCAACCCCGCCTCTGGGTGTGAACCCAAAAGAATTGAAAGCGGAGACGGGAACAGATATTTGCACGCCCGTATTCACAGCAGCACTGCTCAGCACAGGTGACGGCACCCTCACTGCCCACTGGCGGTTGAGTGATAAATTAAAATGTGATTTATGGACTCAACAGAGCATTATTCAGTCTTAAAAAAAGAAGGAAATGCTGACACACGGGGCAACGTGGATGAACACCGAGGACATTATGCGAAGTGAAGTACGTCAGTCATGAAAGAGCAAACACTGCAGTACGTGAGTGCACTCACGTGAGTCCCTAGAGACAGACAGAGAGTGGGATGGTCGGCGCCAGGGGCTGGGGAGGCGGAAGGGCCGGTGTGGGCAGGTCTGTGTAATGAGGGCACAGATGCAGTCTGAGAAGGCGAGAAAGTTCTGGAGACGATGGGTGGTGATGGCCGCACAGCAATGTGAATGGGCTTAAGGCCACTGACTGCACACCTAAACATGGTTAAGATGGTAAATGCTATATGTTTTTTACCACAATAAAGAAAAAATGTTTTCATGAAAAACCTTTGGTGGCAATATGGATGTTTCCACTGCTTGATTTTTCACCTTTCAAGAGTGACTGACAATATTTTTTTTTTTCTTTTTGCGGTAGGCGGGCCTCTCACCGTTGCGGCCCCTCCCGCTGCAGAGCACAGGCTCCGGACATGCAGGCTCAGCGGCCACGGCTCACGGGCCCAGCCGCTCCACGGCACGTGGGATCCCCCCGGACCAGGGCACGAACCCGCGTCTCCTGCATCGGCAGGCGGACTCTCAGCCACTGTGCCACCAGGGAAGCCCAGACTGACAGTATTTTTAAAAACATTTTTAAATGGGTGAAATGAGTCCTGTTAAACGTTTGCCAAGGACTCTCCTTGCCCTCCCAACCACCCTGCAACAAGCAGGGAGGAGCAGGGGGGGCAGCTCATTCCCTGGGCTTGACTGCCGGTGATGGTTCGGTGATGTCTCAGGCACAGAGAGAAAGGCACATTCTAGAGGGATTCCGGGCATTAGGAGCACCGCAGACACTGTGCGTTCACCCTCAGTAACCCAGGCCCTGCCCTCCGAGCAGGTGGGTGTAGAAAGGGCTTGGGGCAGCCGGGGGGAGGAGAAGCGGAGGACACACGTGCACTTGTCATATTTGCATTTGGGGGGAAACCCCACCAGCCTAGATGCTGCTCTCCCAGGACCTGATAGGCTGAAAGGCCTCACTGTGGACTCTGAACGGTCAATGGTAGCATGCAGTCCTTCCGGAGCTGTGGCAGGAGTGGGGCTGGGCTGGGCCGGGCATTCCAATGTGCTTTTTTCCCCAACACCACCAGGCAGTTGACACATCTGACACCATCTACCAGGAGATCCCGCAGCTCAAGTGCTCAGGCCTGCCAGAGTGCCGTCAGATGCCCATTGCTAGTCAGGTTGGCACCTGTGCTTCTGACCCACCGGCTACCTATGGAGGGTTCCCATGACCCCCTCCTCAGGTTCAATTAACTTGCTAGAGCAGCTCAGAGAACTCGGAGAAACATTTTACTTAAATCACTGGCTTACCATGAAATGACAAAACTCAAGAACAGCCCGATGGAAGAGGCGCGCAGGGCCAGGCCTGGGGAAGGACTCGGGCTCCCTCTGCGAGTGTGCCGCTCACCCCGGATCTGCAGGGCTTCACCAGCCCAGAAGCTCTCCCCATCCCCTTCCTTTTGTTTTTTTCTGGAGCCTTTCTTACACAGGCGAGATGGATGAAATCATTGGCCATCAGTGATTGATTCAACCTCCAGCCCCTCTCCCCTCCCTGGAGGTCGCGGGTGGGAAACTGAAAGTTCAACTCTCCAGTCACAAGGTTGGGTCCCCAGGCGACAAGCCCCATCTCAGGTGAGGCCCCAAATTCGGAAACATAAATTCAGGTGTGGCAGAAAGGGGCTTGTTATGAATAGCAAAACACCTCATCTCTCTCATCACTTAGGAAATTCCACGGGTTTTAGGAGCTCTGGGCCAGAAACAGGGCTGAAGACCAAACACACATTTCTCATTGTAAATCGTGGTACCACAGAGTTAAAGGAAACTTCTCCATCAAAGATCGCCGTGACGGTAAATTTTACACGTCGTGTGGACCGGGCCGTTTTACACCTTGCTTCTGGGTGTGTCCGTGAGGGTGTTTGCAGGTGAGATTAGGATTTGAATGGGGGGGGGTTCCCCAGAGAAAGTGATAGGCGTCATGCAAGCAGTCGAGGCCCGAACAAAACAGAAGGTGGGAGGAGGCGCAGCTTGCCTTTTTCTGCCTCCCTCTTGAGCTGGGACCCCTCCTCTCATCTCCTGCCCTTGGGCGGGGACTCACACCATCGGGCGCCCCGGGCTCCCTGGCCCTGGTGCTGGGGCTGAACTGCGCCCCCGGCTTCCCTGGGCCTCCGGCGCAAGTGACATAGACGGCATCTACCTCTATACATGGACATCTTTCTATGGCACATATGGATATACGTACGGGTATACCTCCTGCTGGTTCTCTAGAGAGCCCTAATACAGACACAGATTCAAATCCCAACAGAGGCCATGCAGGTGACACAAACGTGGGGAACAGGCAGGGGTAAGAAATCAGCAGCTCCTGTCCAAGAATAAACAACAAACACGCTTGGCCTCGCCACTGGAGGACAGCAGAGGCTGCAGGGCTGCGGTAACTTGGGTGAAACAAGCCCAGGCCCAAGGGGCCTCTGGCTAATTGCCACCACAGCGGTGGCGAGCGCGTGGCGTCACCTATCTCTTGACATCTTTAAGAAACTCAAAATCTGGATTTTTTAAGTGAAATTTCCCAATTTCTAAAAATCGGTGACGATTGCAAAAAATTTTTACAGAGGGCAGGCCAAATAGAACGCGAGTGCAGGTCAAGTCCAGCGCCAGCCCCCAGGGTAGGAGCCCCCTCTGGAAAGCCCAGGGCGAGAGAGCCGAGCCTCCTGCACCAGCCTGCTCTGGCCGGCAGGGAGAGCCTCTGTTCCCGGGGGGGGGGGGGTCCAGGTTCCCAGGGAGCAGAGGGGGCCCCGGGAGGGGCCCTGAGACTTTCACAAGCCCCAGTTTCGAAGGCAGCCGAACTCACGCCCATCAGGGCCGACTGTTTTCTACCTTCACTGTTTTGATGAAAATATTTCTGAGCGGACTACACACCTCTCCTTTCTTCAAGAAGGCTGGCAGAAGGTTGCTGCTGGTGGGAAGGAGCAAATACCTAAGTTAATGGTTTTAGTGCTTTTCTAATTGTGGGAAGAGGTGAGAATCCAGGTTCATAAACGACTTCTCCAGAAAATACCTGACCCTCTGAGGGCCTGTGCTGCCCGTTTTCCCAGAACACAGAGAGTCTCACCCTGCTCTTCGTCCTGAACTTTCCGGGTGCGCTGAAAAGTCAGCGGCTGCAGTGGCTGGTGGCTCAATCCCTGCAGAGCCAGGTGGCGAGTGACCATCTTAACTTGGCACCTCCATGGCTACCGAGGCTGCGGTCACCGCCCTGACTCCCCCCGGGCCCGGGGGTGGCTCCACTCTGGGTGTCAGCTGTCCCTTCTCCCCGCTGGCAGCTGACGCGCAGGAGGAGACTGCTCACTGGGGGCCTCAGTAGGGCGCCTAGGGCGGGTGTGGAGCCCTCACACGTGGCCGGAAGCCTCCTGAGACCCTGCCCTGAGGCTGGCCGAGCCCTGGCTGTCCTGAATAAGCGAGGGTGCCGGATGGGAAAGGATGACGGGAGGGCCCGGTCTTCAACCTGGACATATCCTCTTTGTCTCTCCCTAGGAACAGGGAATGTTCGCACAGATACACGCAGCAGGGTGCCCTCCGTGGAGACTTGTTGGCGGCGATACGATCATTTGGACCTCGTGCTTGCCGTGTGGAAGAGAAGCCCTCCCAGGATGGCTTTAGCAGGTGAGGACCAAGGAGAAGGGGAGGCCATCCGGGCCTGGTACAGCAGCTCCCAGCACTGCCAGGAGCCCACCCAGGCGCCTCTGCCTTTCCACGTGCCTCCAAGTGCCACGGTGAGCCTCATGGTCACTTCACAGCAGGGCTGCTGTGCTCCCAGGCATCACACCTGAGGTTCTGGCAGGAAGAAGGGGCAAAAGCAAAGAGCGATGCAGCCGCACCTGTCTGTTTTTATTACAGCTTTCCCGGAAGACCCACCCAGCAGACTTCCACGTCATCTCATGGGCCGGAACCAGGCCAATGGTCACTCCTAATTACAAGGAAGGCTGGAAAATCAGCTACTTTTTACGTGCACATTGCTGCCCAGACAACAGTGGGGTTTTGTTAGCTCAGGCAAAGGTGGAATGGCCCGTGGGGAGGACTCGGCCCCCCAGCTAGATGTGGGGGGCAGGTGTCAAGTTTTGACCGGCCCCCAATCTCTTTCTCAATTTGAGTCTGTCGTGGGAACCAAGGAGAATGAGGACATGCTCAAAGCTGGCCTCTCTGTGCAGCGAGGTCGCAGGTCTCGGGCGTGGACCGCCGGCCCGAGCCAGGCCGTCTCTGCCTGGTCACCTGGTGGTCCCACGCCAGTCGGTCGGTCAGTCGGGGGAAGGCGGGGCGATGGGCGAGAGCCTGGCCAAAGGAGCACCTGCCCCTTGGCGGGAGGAGGGACAGCAGGCGGCTCCAAGGACTGGTCAGTGCCCCGCTCAGCCAGTTTTCACGGCACCAGGCCCCCGAGCCCACTTGGCGCCAGGCCTGAGCACCCAGCCCTGAAGAAGACCCCCACTGCCTTCCCGGTCCCCAGGGAGCCGCGTGGGGACAGCAGAGGTCCCCGCCCTCTGGCCTCAGCTGTAAGCTGGGGGTGCAGTGACACTCCCTCCGGGTGGTGAACCCCAAGAGGGCGTGAGCACAGCTCCTGACCCAGGAGAGCACGGGGAGTAGCGGAGGGAGCCGGGTGGCTGTGAGGTGAGGGCGGGGCCGAGGTGGTGAGGGGACCACAGGGCTCTCGGTCCCGCTCACAGCCGCAGGGCCCGCTGGAGCACACGCTGATCCGCCACCTCATGGGGCAGCGTCACCACCAAGCCCCTGTCCTCCTGCATCGTCTGGCAGATGATCTCGTAGGCCTTCCGGTTCCCGGACCAGCAGCGGCGGGCCACCTGCCGGCGGGGCGGGGAGAGGGCGTGCAGCGTCGGTGCCACGTCGTTGGAGGGTCAGTGGGTTCCCACCAGGCGTTCCCAGGTCACACCTCCTCCTCTCTTGGCCAGAAAACTGACCCACCCGCCTGTGACGATGTGACACTGGCCATCCTTCTGCCCGAACTCCCCATCACCACCCCGGGCAGGGGCCCCAGGCCAGGCCCAGCGTCCTCAGGGCCCCCTGGACGGTGGCCTCGGCCCTCCCCCCACCTCTGGCTGCCTTCCTGCCACTCCCCACCTCCCCCAGCCACTCCCTCACTGCCGCACCGGCCTTCCGGACGAGGACCAGCCCCCTCTTTTGGGGCTTCGCTCCTCCACTCTCCTGGGCCACCCAAGTCTAACCCTAGTGCAGGGCTCCTAAGCCCCTCCCCATTCCACTCCCATCTGCAAATACCCCCCATCACCCCCTGACCTCGCATTTGTGCTGCTTCCCCCTTCAGGCCCGCGTGGCCATAGAGACGGATGGAGCCCCGCACCACACGCGCACGCACAAGCAGGCACGCGAGCGACACCGCCCGGGCCCCCTGCGGACACAGGCTGGGCGGGAAAGAGCCCGTCTGAAGAGGCGGGAAACCCTGGCGGTGGCTGGAGGGGAGACACAGGAGCAGCGGGGGCTCCGGACTGTTTTCTGGGAGGGGGGCAGGGCCACTGACAGGGAGGGGCAAGGGGGTCACTCACTCCGTTAGAGACGTCCCAGCTGAGCATCATCTTGGCCTTCTGCTCAGCCTCCTGGGTCCCGTCCAGCACAAGGCCAAATCCCCCGTTGATCACCTCACCCCTGAGAGAGGCAAAAGGTTCCCAGGTCACGCTGGGTCCGACCCTGCGAGGGGCAGGCCTGCTTCGGAAGCGCTGTCTGGGGAAACAGCCCCGCAGCCCGGAGCCTGCCTGTGCCTAACAGCCGAGGGATGCAGGCTGCCCGCTCGTGCTTCCGCGCTCCACCCACAGACCCCAGGCCCCCTTCCGGGCCCCCACGTGTGGCCTCCTTGGGGGGCGGGGCCACCTCTCCCGTGTTTCCACGTGGCTCTCTTCCTGCCGTCCTTCACGCTCGTCCTCCTGTACTCGCATTCGGGGTCCTGATTACTTGATTTGAGGGCCGAGTTCCTTGATGCCCAGCATTTGCTGCACCACCTCCTCTCCCGGGTTTGATGTGCTCTGGGGTCCCTCATGACTTGAGAGCTGTCATTCCAATCTCATCATCCATGTGTGCCAGTGCCCGTCCTCTCCCGCTGTTTGCCCCGCAGTTTCTCCCCATCAGCCACGGAGACTGCGTCCTTCCTGAAGCCCCTGGATCCATCCTCACCCTCCACGTCTTTCTCCAAGGCTTCTGCCCAGCTCACATCCCTGACACTCCAGCCCCTTTCGGTTACACACACAGGAAACGCCCTCAATCTTGTCAGCTCCTGCCAGGTTTTACTGCCAGGCTCAGGTCTCAGATCCTCTGGCCCCTCCGGCCTCACCCCCTTCTCTGCCCAGCTGGACCCTCCCGACAACCTCAGCCGGTTCCCACCAAGAGGGTGAGGACCCTCTGCCCCATCCCACCCAGGGAGCGGAAGCGGAACTCCTGCGCCCGGGCCCACGTCCCAGCAGCCGGCAGCCCTGTGCCCGCGAGCGGGCTCCCAGCACTTCCCGTGGCCCCTGTGGTGGAGGGGGCTCTGCACGGATTCAAGGTCATCACCACTCACTTGTCACAGGCTGGTGCCGGGGATCAGAGGACAAAGCAGGCGGCAGCCACAGTCCTTTGACCAGAGAGGACTTCTGGAGATTCGAACAACATCTTTCGTTTTGGTAGCCCGAAGCCCAGATGGTCAGAGAGCAAAGGTGCTCAGCTCCAGGGGACCTCTGCAAACCCTGCCTGGAGCAGTCCAGGGCCCAGGAAGACAGCAAGAAAGGAGGACCTGTATCCCGGAGCAGTTGCTGCACAGAGAACGGTCCCGTTGAGAAGGACATAAAAGCAGAACCCTATGTCACATGTACCAAGAGTCAGTGCCAGATGTACTAAGGAAGGAAGTACTCAACATTATAAGATGAACAAGAGCACGCAACTCAGGAACAGGACCCTGGGAGAGCGACTCAAAGCAAAACAGCAGAGTCTGTAATTCTGGCCCAGCAGCCCGGCAGCCCTGGGTTTCAGGCAGTGATACCGGCCAGGGCTGAAGAGGTTATGCAAACAGGAATCTTCATGCCGGGAACTGTGGCGCCCACAGCGCACACACAGTAACGGTTCATGCTCACAGGAGGGGTGCCTCGGCAGGGCGGGGCCTGTCCTGGCTCCTTCACAAGTGACTGCGGGTGGCTTTGCTGGGAACCCCAGGCAGAGTCACATTCTAGGTGCAGCTGCCTCATAGGTGGGACCATCGAGATGATTCGACGAGTGTCTCTGGAGACACCCGTGCACAGGTCGCGCACCATAGGAGCCTTAGCTGCCACGACTAATCTCCACCGCTAGCCCGCAAAGCATGCTGCTACCGTGACCATTTGTCCAGGAGAAACAAGCTCCTTGGGGATCCCCATGCACAGCCGGGTTCGAGATATGCTCTAGTGAGGAAACAGCATCATTATCCAGATAAAGACAGTGCATTTATTCCTCAAACATGTGAGGCCCCGGGGCTGGACCGGGTGTGAGGACAGAAGGCAGGGACACAAAGACTGAGGGGAAGGCCCAGCACCAGCGGTGAGGCCCAGACCCTCCTTGGAGGGATGGAACCACACAGGCTCTACGCAGCCATCCAACCCGCCGAGACCAGGGACTGACTGCCGCCTCTCCTGCTCTGCGCCCTGTCTAAAAGGAGCAGACGGCAGGGACCGCGGGCAGCCAGCACAGGACAGACCCCAGCACACAGTCAGAGTGGACTGGGCAGAGCAGGGCCCGCAGAGCGACCCAGTGCCGACACTGACCAGCTCAGAAACGGGAAAGCAAACTGAGAGGTATCAGGGTGGCTTGTGACTTAGACACTTGCTTTTCCATACAAGAAAGCAAAAACTATAGCTGGAGACAGAAGGAAGAACAGGCGTGGGACAGATTTCTCCCGCTGATTTTCACAGGAAGGTTTGCAGCAGTATCTGGTGGATTAAATCATGCATGTCTGTGTCTGATGGATTTCCGATGAATCTGAGGCACTTTCCAAAGGAGCCCTCGAGGGCGGCCACGACCGAGGGCCTCGGTGCCAGCGCCTCTCCGGTCGCGCCCTGTCAGAGCCTAGGGGGCAGCCTGGCGGTGAGAGGGGACCCCGCTCTGGGAGCCCCGTGCAGGGTCAGCGGCGAGCATTGTCCCGAGGCCTCGTGTCCTGGACACTTTCTCGGGGGCTCCGTCCTGCCTTCTGCGGTCCTGTCACCAATGTCGCGAATCCAGGGACAACAGATCTGGGTCCAGATCTGGCTCCACCAGCACCTCCGGCCCCCTTCAGAGCTGCTCTTGCACCTGCAGCATGACTCAGCAAACCCAGTGCCAAAATGCCAGGCGCTCCCTCCCGTCCTGGTTTTCTCCAGCCTGTGTCTCTGAAAGGACACGCGATCCGATCACATTTTCCATTCATGAGAGCCACCTGACTGGGCTGCAGTTTGGAATTCCGGCCTCGAAGGGCCCAAGGCCAAGCCAGCCCCCGGGGACGCTCTGGAAGCTGCAGCGTGAAGGACTTGGCTCTGGAGGGCAAGTCCAGGCTTGATCCGGCCAAAACGGGCTCAGAGGTCAGCTCAGAGGTGGCCGGGCCTGGGCAGCTGTCTTCCTCTGCGGGGCCACGGCGCCCCCTGCTGCTCTGAGGAGCCAGGAATACCGCGCAACCAGAGCTCCCCAGGCGACCCCCCGCCCAGAGGCCATGCGCACAGGTGTAGCCCCAGCTGCCTGCTGCCTCAGTTTCCGCATCTATAGATGCATTTCTTTTCCAAGAGTAGGTGAGAGAGGGGATTCAAATGCTTGCCATGCGGTCCACTTGCAATAAACGTTAGTTACTCATTTTTCTCAGCAGCAAATACGACATCACGGTTTATAACAAAGACGTATTTGGTCTTTGCCCACTGTTCCTGGCACGGAGCTCCCCAAACCCTTGGAATTTCCTCTGCTGCGAGGGATGAAGGTGTCGTTCCTTATGTTAATGAGCTGACTCTGGGAAACCACCCAAGGATGGAGCTGGATGCCAGTGGAGCCACCGATCAGAGGCCTGAAACGTGGGTCCCAGCCCCTGACCTGCCGGGAGGGCAGGGGGGCTGGAGGCGGAATCAGTCACCAGTGGCCGTGATGTAGTCAATCACGGACGCGTAAGGAACCCTCCACAGAAACCCCAAAGGAGCGGGTTCAGAGAGCGTCCAGGCTGGGGAGCCAGAACACTTCCACGTGCTGCCGTGCCCGGCCCCAGCCCCACAGGGACCCTTTGGGTCCTCAACTTGTGTATCTCCTCATCTGGCTATGGATTCACATCCTTTGATATCTTTTGTAATAAATCAGAAATCCAGTGAATAAATGGGTTCCCTGCGTTCTGTGAGCTGCTCTAGCAAACCAGTGGAACCCGAGGAAGTGGCTGCAGGGACCTCTGATCTGCAGCTGGTGGGTCGGAAGCATTGGTAATACTGTAGACATGTGACTGGAGTCAGGGGGTGGGGTGGTGGACAGCCCTGTGGGACTGAGCCCTCAGCCGTGGGATCTGACGTTATCTCTGTGCTGACAGTGTTGGAACTGAGTGGAACTACAGGACACGCAGCTGGTGTCAGAAAACCCCCTCGGGTTGGAACTGGGTGCAGAATTATAGGGACGTCCCCACGAGGGAACTGCATCTGTCGCCCAGAAGGGAGCCTCCCAGAATCCCTAGCTCCCTCGCGGCGTGGGCTGGAAACAGGCCTGGCTGGGCAGAGAGGGGCCAGGACCCAGGGAGCCCAGAACCCAGGTCCCCGCCTCCCAGCCCAGCCCCTGACGGAGTGAAAGGACGGGGCCAGGAGGGTGCTGAGCATTCCCTGGAAAACATCTGTGAAAGCAGCATGAAAACGACAGGAAAGGGTGATTTACGGCGTCCACGGCAGGCCTTGGTGTCCCACGCGACGGGTGAGACCCCAAAGGTGGGGTGTTGGGCAAGGCCCCCATTTCCAGCTCACACGAGGAGCCCTCGGTAGCGGGAGCTCCAGGAAGCAGGCCCAGGACCCTGGAGGAGACCCCCGAGCCTTCCAAAGGAGCCCCAGCTGCACCACCGGCGCCCAGAAACCTCCTTACCAGCCGACACCCCCGCCGTTGTGCAGGGCAACCCAGGTGGCTCCCCGGAATGCACCTCCCACGAAGTTCTGCACGGCCATGTCTGTGGAAACAGAGCCCCGTCAGCGCCCGAGGAAGGCAGCCAGGCCGGGCCAGGGTCTGAGGGACGGATGGGAACAAGGCAGGGCAACTGCAGGAACAGCAGAAATTTGTATTTTCAGAACCAAGCAAAGCAGGACAATGAACAAGTGCCCGACGAGCACTGTCGCCCCCTGCTGTCTTCTCTCCGGTGCCAAGTGGCAGGTACAGCGCCCCAGAGGCACGGAGGACAAAGGAATTCAAAGGGATGTGGTGGCAGTGTTAGCTCAGATGACCAAGAGCGCCAGTCCCACCCTTAGAGTGAACATGCTAAATTGGGGGGCAAACTGCAAATTACCAACTGTCGTCGGCCCATCAGAGGCCCGAGGTCCCAGGGCGGCCAACTACCCGGAACTCTGTGGGGAGGCAGGCACCTGCCCAGAAATGGAACCCGTGCCTCACTCGTGTCTAAGGACTCGCTGAATGACAAGCCTCAGCTTGCCTGAGACCGAGGCCCCTGGGGACACGGATGGAAGGGGTCGGCACCTTCCGGCGGGCTCTTCCTCCAAACCCCCACTTGTGCCCACAGAGAAGAGGAGGGGGTCCTGGGAATACTTTCGTCCTAGTGCAGGGCTATGAGATGCAAGAAAAGCAGCTCTAGGACCTGGAAAAGGCCAGGGAGCAGATTCTCCCCTGCAGCGTCCTGAGACGTCACAGCCCTGCCTGCACCTCGACTTAAGCCCCGAGAAACTGACTTCAGACTTTAGACCTTCAGAACTGTGAGGGAACACATTTGTGCTGTTTCCAGCCTCCAAGTTTGTGGTATGTTGTTACCATGGCCAAAGGATACGAATGTAAACCACATTAATATCAGAGAACTTCAGAGCCAGCAGTATTATCAGGGATAAATAGGGACATCACAGGATGATAGAGGTCAATTCTCCAAGAAGAGACAGTAAACCTAAACAAGGGCACACCTAACAACACAACTCTAAAACACACGTGGCAGGGCTTCCCTGGTGGCGCAGTGGTTGAGAGAGAGTCCGCCCGCCGATGCAGGGGACGTGGGTTCGTGCCCTGGTCCAGGAAGATCCCACATGCCGCGGAGCGGCTGGGCCCGTGAGCCATGGCCGCTGAGCCTGCGCGTAGCCTGATGTGGGGCTCAGAACTCTCACTCCCATGGGAGAACTTCTGTGATATAATTATTCTCCAGTTTGTGAGTCACCCACCCAGCAGGTATGGGATTTGATTTTATCATGATTGTACCCCTCCTACCGTCTCGTCTCGTTGTGGCTTCTTCTTTGTCTTTGGATGTAGGGTATCTATTTTTTCATTTTTTTCGGTTCCAGCATTTTTTTGTCATTGGTTGTTCAACAATTAGTTGTGATTTTGGTGTTTTCATAAGAATGGGGTGAGCTGACGTCCTTCTACTCCGCCATCTTGAACTAATCTCCCAAACAAACTCTTAATATGTCCTGCATAGGTGAGTTGGCACCTTTGGAACAAGGGGCCACTGACACCTATTATTCTAAGAGATCACCAGTCTGTCTTGGAGTCATTCTTATTTGTGTGTATATCTGTTGTAGATTTTTGGTTTGCGGTTACCATGAGATTTTACTATAGCAGTCTATATATATACATGATTGTTTTAAGTTGCTGATATGTTCGTTTCCAATGCATTTCTGATATCCTGCATTTATACTTTTCTCCTCTCATGATTTTGGTTTAGATATCTACTTGTGTGTGGATGATTTCCTACTTTCACTCTCTGTTTCCCTTTACCAGTGAGCTTTTCCATTCGTGATTTTCTTGTTTCTAGTTGTGGCCTTTTCTTTTCTGCTTAAAGAAGTTCCTTCAGCATTTGTTGTAAAGCTGGTTTGGTGGTGCTGAATTCTTTTAGCTTTTGCTTGTCTGTAAAGCTTTTATTTCTCCATTGAATCTGAATAAGACCCTTGCTGGATGGAGTATTCTTGGTTGTAGGTTTTTCCCTTTCATCACTTTAAAGATATCGTGCAACTCCTTTCTGGCCTGCGGAGTTTCTGCTGAAAATCTGCTGATAACCTTTTGGGGGTTCCTTTGTTATTTGTTGCTTTTCCCTTATTGCCTTTAATATTTTCTCTTTCTCTTTAATTTTCGTCAGTTTGATTACTATATGTCTTGGCATGTTCTTACTTGGGTTGATCCTGTATGGTACTCCGTGCTTCCTGGACTTGGGTGACTGTTTCCTTTCCCATGTTAGAGAAATTTTAAGCTATTATCTCTTCAAATATCTCCTCAGGCCCTTTCTCTCTCTCATCTTCTGCTGGAACCCCTATAACTCGAATGTTGGTGCATTTGACGTTGTCCCAGAGGCCTCTTAAACTGTCCCTGTTTCTTTTCATTCTTTTTTCTTTATTACGTTCTGAGACAGTGATTTCCACCACTCTATCTTCCAGCTCACTTAACCATTCTTCTGCCTCATTTATTCTGCTCTTGATTCCTTCTAGTGTATTTTTCATTTCATTTATTGTACTCTTCAACTCTGGTTCTTTATTTTTTCTAATTCTTTCTTAAAGACTTCTTGTAACTTCTCAGTCAGTGCCTCCATTCTTTCCCTGTGTTCTTGGATCATCTTTATGATCATTACTCAGAACTCTTTCTTGAGTAGATTGCCCATCTCCACTTCACTTAGTAGTTCTTCTGGGGTTTTATCTTGTTCCTTCGTCTGAAACATATTGCTTTGCCATGTCATTTTGTTTAAATTTCTATTTGTATTTTTATGTATGTAGTAGCTTAGTTACATTCCTCATCCTTGGAGAAGTGGCCTCTGTAGGGGATGTTCTCTGTGTCCCAGCAGTGCTCTCCCCTCTCGTCACCCAAGGGCCAGGGACAAGCTAGTCCCAGGGTAGGTTCTGACCTGTATTTTCAGACTCACTTCTGTGGGCTTCAGGATCGTAGTTTCCTTCCTTCTGGTGTCTGCCCCCTAGTTGGTAAGCCTGGTCTAGAGGCTGGTACAGGCTTTCTGGTGGGCAGGGCCATGTCAAGGGGCATGTCTAGAGGTGGCTGTGGGTTCAGAAAGTGTTTAGGCAGCCTGTCTGCTGATGGGTGGGGCTGTGTTCTGCCTGTTGGTTGTTTGGCCTGAGGCGTCCCAGCATTGGGGCCTACAGGCTGTTGGGTGGGGCCAGGTCTTGGTGCTAACGTCCCAAGCAAGATATCAGCCTCCAGATGCATACTCCTGGATATGTTAACCACCAGCTTTTATGTCCCAGGAGAGAGCCACAGCTGCCCAAGAGACCCTCCAAGACCAGCAGGTAGGCCTAGCCCAGGCTCCTTTGGAGTCATTGCTTTTGTGCTGCGACCTGGTGCTCAAGGGACTTTGTGTGCACCCTCCAAGCATGGAGTCTTTGTTTCCCCAAGTCCTGTGGAGTTCTTGAGATTCAGACCTGCTGGCCTTCAAAGCCAAATGCTCTGGGGGCTCCTCCTCCCAATGCCAGATCCCCACGCTGGGGAGCCTGATGTGGGGCTCAGAACTCTCACTCCCATGGGAGAACTTCTGTGATGTAATTATTCTCCAGTCAGTGGGTCACCCACCCTGGGGGGTATGCGATTTGATTAGATTGCAAGTATGCCCCTCCTACTGTCTCATTGTGATTTTTTCTTTGTCTTTGGATGTAGAATATCTTTTTTGGTAATGTTTCAGTCTTTTTTATTGACGGTTGTTCAACAGTTAGTTGTGCTTTTGGTGTGCTCATGGGAGGAGGGGAGCTCAAGGTCTTCTACTCCACCATCTTGTCTTTTCCAACCTGGTTTGTTTTTTTAAGATTGTTTTGGCTTTGGGGGGGGGGTCTCTTGAGACTCCATATGAATTTTTAAATGAATTTTTTCTATTTTTGCCATTGGGTTTTTGATAGGGATTGCATTAAACCTGTGGATTGCTTTTGGTAATATTGACATCTTAACAATATTGTTTTCCAATCCATGAACATAGGATATCTTTCCATTTATTGGTGTCTTTCAGAATTTCTTTCAGTGACATTTTGAGCATACAAGTCTTTCACCTTCTTTGTCAAGTTAATTCCTAAGTGTTTTTTTCTTTTTGATGTTACAGTAAATGAAAGTTAAATTGTTTAATTTTTTCTTCAGATTGTTCATTGTTAGTAAAGAGACACACAAGTGGGTGTTTTTTGTTTCTGTTGTTGATTTTATATTCTGTGACTGATGGATTGCTTTATTAGTTCAGTTTTTGTGCAGTCTTTAGGGTTTTCTACATATAAGGTCCTGTCATCTGTGAGTAGAGATACTCTTACTTCTTTTCTCTCCAATTTGAATGTCTTTTATTTCTTCTTCTTGCCTAATTTCTCTGGTTAAGACTTCCAGGACTGTGTTGAATAAAAGTGGTGAAAGTGGGTATCCTTGTTTTACTTGATCTTAGAGGAAAAATTTCAGTATTTCACCATGAGTGTTATGTTAGTTGTGGGCTTTTGATATATAGCTTTTATTATATTGGGGTAGTTTCCTTCTATTCCTAGTTTGTTGAATGTTTTTATTATGGAAAGTTGAATTGTGTCACATGCTTTTTCTGCATCACTGAGATGATGGCATGGTTTATTTTCCTTCATTTTGTTGATAGAGTATGCTGCATTGATCAGTTTTCATATGAACTAGCCTTGCATTCCAGGAATAAATCTCTTTTGGTCATGGTGTACAGTAATTTTAATGTGCTCTTGAATTCTAGTATTGCTAGTATTTTATTGAGGATTTTTGTGTCAATATTCATAAGGGATATTACTCAGTGGTTTTCTTGTAGTGTCTTTGTGTGGCTTTGGTATCAGTGTAAATCTGTCCTCATAGAATGAGTTTGGAAATGTTGCCTCCTCTGCAATTGCTTTGGAAGAGTTTGAGGAGGATTGACGTTAATTCTTCTTTAAATGTTTGGTAAAATTCACCAGCAGAGCCATCTGGTCCTGGGCTTTTCTTTATTGAGAGGTTTTTGATTACCAGTTCAATCTCCTTGCTATTTATGGGTGTGTTCAGAGCTTCTATTTCTTCATGATTTAGACTTGGTCAGTTGTGTATTTCTAGGAATTTATCCTTTTCGTCTAGGTTGTCCAATTTGTTGGCATATAATCATTAAAGTACCCTCTGATAATACTTTTTATTTCTGTAAATTG